AGTGACTCACTCATTAACACAGTCAAATACTTCGTTCCTGAATTAATCAGCCGTTTGAATGAATCGGTTGAATCTCACTGACTTGCTGCCACCTACTGGCGGTTTTAATTTCACATTTCAACTATTTTTTCATGTTTTAAATAATTTCAAATATCATTATTTAACATTTTATGTTTAAAAACGAAGCATTATTTATACATTTGTAACTGCAGGTTAAATGCATCCATGTCCTCTCTGAGTTACATTAAACTGTGTAAATGAATCTAAATGCCACTTCAGATGCAGATTCCAAAAATGACTTCTTATGTTGGAATGAAAGAGACTAAGTACCGAATGAAGTGCCTCTTATGCTTACCCAAAGATACAAAATGGAAGAAAGAGTTCAAACAGAATACAATCTTGCTGCTCAAACTGTGTATAAACATTTTTAATACTTATTTGCTCCTTTTCCATTTTGCATTTACTTGTACTTTAACTTTCAATACTTAAGTATGTTTAATAAAAAAAAAAATACTCTTCATACTTAAAACAATAAATATAACATACTTACAAACTTTTACTCAAGTAATATGCTAAACAGTGACTTCAACTTCTACCAAAGTCATTTTCTGGTAAGATAACAGATATCTTACCAAAAAATGACTTTGGTAGAAGTTGAAGTCACCATAGATGAAGTCACAGTGGTCACTTCATCCACCACTGCTGCTTGATACAATCACATTCATGCACATATATACAAACTCAATACTCAATATATGCATATAAACACACATAGTCCCTTCTTTAGTCACAATGCCCTTTTTTTGCCAAGCTTGCTCTGGTGCAGACTCTACAGTGGATTATTATAAATATTTTTATTCATTTAATAGTATTTTATTGTATTTTAATTATGACATAATATGAAATTTTGTACTTTAAAAATGCATGTGTTAAAAAAGGTTACATATTCTATATTTTAAAAAGATGTATATGCTGTCATTTGCATTAAACTAATAAAATAGATTTTTAAAGCATATGGAAATTATGCATAAAATATCCATAAACACACTCACATATATTCTGGATGATTGACTAGCCGATTGCTGTGTATTATTTATTTCTTACATTTTATAGTCATAGGTACTTGGACATTCACAGTAAAACTCTTTTGGAAACACTGTATTTTTAAACTCATCTGCTTTAAAGTGCCGCCACTACAGGCATACAGTACACATTAAGATGGATGTCTTTTGTCGTTGCGTCACATTTCACACAGTCCCACTACAAGTGTTGCATTTTTAAGTCGGCATGTCAAGTTAAAAATAGTCCATCCTTTACGCATCTTGAGACTCTTGCATTCTGTTCCATTCTATTGCGCTCCATCTAGCTGTTTTTGCAAGAACGCTTCTTACATAAATGCACCTTAAAGAACACGTCCAGTCAGGGTCAGGTAAGAACAAACCCAGCCTAATTATAAAGGTTTTTGATTAGTCAGCTACTTGTTCAAGCAATAGAATACAAGAAAAAAAAATTGCAGATGTGAAAAGTGTTACCAGATTTCTGGATCATTATGAATAATAAATAATGGTGTGAAGTTCCTTCTTAATTAACAATGTTTTTGATACCAGCTTCCTTTCAGCTTGACCAGTAACTTTGGGGCTGAGATACATGTACTAGACCGGCTGTAGCACAAGAGAGCTCTTTCGAATCTATGATCATCGAATCAGAGCTTCATATCCCTAACCGTGGAAGGGAGCAACAGATAAGTGGATAGTTAACAAAGAGTTTTGTCGCATAGTGAATGCACCTTCTTCTCTGCAGGTTGGCTGCATAGTTACTGTGCTACCACAGTAGCTGTGCATTTTACCATCACTAAGGATACCATATCCATGACAACCTCAACCCATCAAAAGATTCCGTTCATAGCCCATAAACAGAGGGGTGTATACATCAAATGAAGGAAACCATGCTTGTGTCACTAACCTGCCTGCAAAAGCCTGGTTCTTGGAGTAAAAATCCAGTTCAGAAATCATTTTTAATAAAAATATAAACATTTAAACTGACAGACATACCGTGAGCTCTGAACCAAGAACAACAATGTGTTTAATTACTGAATCCCTCCCCCCCCATAAAAAACTACATTACCATAATACTGGATCTAGCTTCACCAATGAGAGAAGTCACTGTTACCATGGAAATTATAATTGCAGTAAAATTAAACATTAAGCATTAACCATTAAGCACTGCAAATGACACAATCAAGTCAATAAAAGCCCATTCCCATAAGGCATTGCAAATGACATAATTGCGTCAGTAAAAGCCCACTCCCATGAAGCATTGTAAATTACGTAACTGAGTCTTCCAAAAACGTATATATTAATACATACAAAAGATTATATACTATACATAATTTTTATATACTTTAATATTTTAAAATAAACTTAAAACATGTTACATGTTATATGTTTAAATCAATTTCTAAAGAGCATTTTTTAATTATTTATATTGTACAGATATTTTTGTATACGTCATTCTCAAATACTTTATAGGATGTGTAGTTCATTGCCTCATTATTATTATTTTTTTTTATTCCTTTAAAAAAAAAAAAATTTGTAATGTTTGTAAGGGATATAGGATGTGTAGTTCATTGCCTCATTATTATTATTTTTTTTTATTCCTTTAAAAAAAAAAAACTTTGTAATGTTGTAAGTGATTCACCAAAAGAATTAATCTCAGAGCTGGTTGGCTCGATTTAAAACATTTTTTGATATACATACAGAGAAAACGAAAATACTTGCATAACGAATGAAGTCGCTATGTGCCCCCAAAAGCGTGGCACATGCTTTCATTCACGCATTAACAGGTTTTCATTGTGTTCTTCGCTGGGAAAATACATAATGCAGCTTCAGATTGCAGAACTGATATGTGGATGGATTAGTGTTACTCAGGCTACAGCATGAATCTCTGAGAGGTCTGAGAACTCCTTCCACAGCCAAACATCCAGATTACCCACACACTCCATCATTCTGCATTCATCCAGGCTGAATGTACTGTACATTGAGCACTGAAGCACACAGGCTGTTCTTAGGCTTACAGAGTTCCAATCTCTCTATTCTAGATTCAGCAATCTGCACTTCAAATTCAAAATCCAATGTAAGTTCTAAAATGCAATTGCATATCACAGAAGTTAAGAGCTATTTAATCATTCAACCAACAGCAATCACTATCATCATTGTCATCATCACAATCATAACATCACGACTATCACCAACATCACATCATAACCACAATATCATCAGCAGCAGAACCACTATCATCATGACCACCATCATCACTATCATGTAATCACCACTATCATTGCCGTCATTAGCATATGGTCACCGCATCACACTACCATCATCACATTACCACCACCATCACATAACCTCTATTACTCATCAAGACTGTCACTAACATTATTATTCTTACTATTTCCATCACATCATCACCACCATAACCATTATCAATCACCGTCAAAAGCAATATCATCCATTACATCATCAAAACATAACTACCACCACAATCACCATTATCACGGTCACTGTCATAACCAGTACTATCCTTACTGCCATAATCACCACCACCATCATTTCTTTCACACCATTATCATCCTCACATTACAACCATAACCATTCCCACCACTACCATCACCATCATGTCGCAGTCTGCAGCGGGTGTGCCCAGGAGGGCCACCAGATGACTGTGTTCTGGGAGCACATGGCTTGTGTTGTGTTTGTCTGTCGCCATGTGCTCTCTCCTGTCTATTGTCTTGCCCCTCCCATCTTGTTACCTCGTTATAGTTTAAGTTGATCCACCTGTGTCTCCCTCGTTAGCCTCCTCGTTTGGTTCCCATTTATTCTCCTTGTGTCTGTCATCCTGTGCTGATCCGTCATTTCTCATTGTGTGTGTTTCGTGTCTGCATGTGTGCAGCTTTAGGCCTGCCTGTCTGTTTTTCCCCTTCGGGGTGGTTTGAGTTTGTTTTTGTTTCATTTTTATTATCAAAATAAATAACCATTTCTCCTGCAATTGAGTCCTCGCTTCATCTCCCCGCACGCACCGTGACACATCATCATTACAATCACTGTTGCAACCAGTATTATCCTTACCATTAACACCACTGTCACAACCATAACCATCCCCACCATTACCATCACCATCCTCACTGCTACTAACATTGCCATAATCATAATCATCATCACCACCACCATCATTACCCTCACATAACCATCACAACCATTTTTCCCTCACCATCACATTCATCACATATCGCCATCACCATTATCATCAACGTCACAACTTCACCACCACATATCACCACAATCACATAACATCCATCACAATTACAACCATAACTATCCCCTCCACTATCACCACCATCATCATTACCAGTCACTGCCAGTATTACCCTCATCATTACCATCATTGTCACAACCATCACCATCCTCACTGCTACTATCATTGTCATAATCACCACCATCATTACTATCACAAACTCATCTTTATCCTCAACATCATCCCCTGTCATCACCGTTATCATCAACATCACATTACCATCATCTTCTTCCTTTCTTTATTTATAAAGCATTATTTAACAGTCTGTTGGCCAAAGTGCTTTACATTTTTAGAGCCACATCCCCACCACTACCATCACCACCATTATCATCAAACGCTATCACAACTAGTATTATCCTCACCATTACATCACCGTCACAACCATCACCATCCTCACTGCTACTATAATCGCCACAATCACATCACATAACCATCACCATTACCATCACAACCAATACCATCCTCACCATTATCATAACCACATTACCACCAGTATCACATAACATCCATCACAACCATAATCATCCTCACCACTACGGTCATTGCCATTGCATTGTCTTAATTCCATAATGATCATCATCATTATCATCACTCTCAAATCATCATCATGCGCATTTCTGACTTGTGCTGTGAGGCAGAGTGTCTCTTACCAGGTTTGAGTTGGTTGCGTTGGAATCGTCCTCGGGGAAAGGGATGTAGACAGCTAAGGCCACACAGTTTGCAAAAATAGTCATCAAAATTATGATTTCAAACGGTCTGAGGAGTCAGTGTTAAAGAAAAGGACATCAGAGCTGGTGCATACACAAGCAAAAGAATACGTACAGTATATGTTAACTCTCATCAATGCACAAGACTGTGTAAGAGCAAAAGAACACACATACAGTACAGTACAGTACAGTACAGTACATGTTAACAGTACAGTTCTCTCATCAGTGCACAAGACAGTGTAAGAGTTTAGATCCTCTCTGGATTTTTTTCTCTACTCAAATCTTTTTTTTTCTTTCCTGTTAATAGCAAGGACAAGCTCTTCAAAAACCTGGCCTTCATCAAGACATCGATCTTCACCCCCCTTCCATTTTCCTTCTCTCTCTTCCTCTCCACTACTCTCCTCCCTCTCTCTTTTTACTGGCCAAATTGTGTATTTGGCTTTCAGTTCTGCTGGAAACACAATCAAACTGTGTCATCATTTGTTACAGGAATGGATTTCTCCAAGATGGGTGTCGAGTCGCACGGCACGTGTCCTGAGGAGAAACAGATGTGTTCTTGTTTTCCTGGATGTTTCTCTTGTATCTGCTGTCTGGGCCTTGAGTTATGGCTCTCTGGGGTTAGTTCAGAATTACAGAGCCTTAGACCCTGTAACCCATTTAGATAAACATGCTTGTAGATCAGTAGTTCGGTTCCCCAAGGGAGTAAAAATGGACCATTGCAGGCAGACTCAAACTGAATTTTATCTTTAAAGGTCTTACAAGGTTATAAATAACACTTCTATATATGAAATCTGCTTGAGTGCACATTAATGTGAATGTGTGTGACCGAATGCGAGTTTGTAGGAGGGGTCAATATGCGTGTGCATTTGTGTGTGTGTGTGTGTGTGGGAGGGGTGAATATTTCAGCCTGTTGAGAGGAGCTGTTGGCATGGCAACATTGCCAAAGACAGGAGAGATGGGCTCTGGAGTCTCTGGAGATACAGATCCAGTCAAGTGTGTGCAAGACTAAAGACACATACGGATAGAACCGGTAAAACAGGGACTTTCATAAAATATCCCACCAAAATTAATGTGGGAAAATATTTCTCTGTCTCCACAGTTCAGCCGTTCCCTCGTGCCGGTTTGTGAATTTATGGGGAAATCTTTGATGATGTGATCAGTTCTTGGCTGAAGCTGTGAATGGGAGCTGGATCTCCTATTTCCTGATGAATTAAGCATTTTACTCAACCAATCAATCCTCATTAACATATTTTACTGGTCGGGGACCTATTGCTGTCTCTTGTGGGCAGAAAAGATTACATAAAACTGTGAGAGAGGGGAAAAAAGAGAGGAAGGGGAAAAGGACAGGGGAACACACCGTCCTACAGTCTCCTATAAAATGCATTTGAGGGGTGCCCTTGAATGACTCATCAAAGCTCAACTCGATTTAACCCTTAGTAGAATTAGATGTAAGAGGGATTCACATCTGATGAGAACGATACTCTATTACACAAAACACAAGCAAAAGGTAGCACAGAAGCTGCATCTGAAGTGGCAAAAAAAACACAAAAAGTGCATTCACACCTTTAATGCAGCAAAGAGTGAATGACAGTCATGAGAATAACATATCACATGCTGATGAGTTTTTTTCTTCTTTTATTGAGGGAGGCCTTTTATATTTTTGTATTGCTTCATGCACCATTGCATATTTAATTATAGCAATGCAAAGATGCCATAACACATCTGTCAAGCATGCTGTAATACTAACAAACAGATCATACAACAATTAATAACCGCACCTATTCAGAAGCACTGCTGCGACTCAAAGATGAAAAGAAAACATTTATGGCCTGGATATCAATAATTTAAAGTCAGCTATGTCCTGTCTGAGGAGTTTATGAGCAGTCTGTAACTGTAACACTGATTAATTAACATTCACAAAACAACTGTATCCTCAGCTACCTGCTGAAACAATTGTCACAAACTCAATATGAGACTTTTTTGGATATGTCGCTCTGGGAGGAATGTGTCTGCCAAGAATGTAAATGTGTGAACTACAGATCAAAAAAATCAGTAACTCCAGAAGTATTGTGTGCTCTTTAATGAGACGGCAGTTTGAGGCCCTGCATCAGTGTACTGCCTTTCAGATTCATATGTGCTCTTTCTAATGAAATATGTGGTGAATTA